AGGTATAAATTTGAAAAAGAAAATAATGGGTGATAAATATTCAGGACGCAGTCTTTTTAATTTTTTTTTTTATTTTTGCCAACGTTTCAACCCAATCATGTGGGTCATCTTCAGGGCTGAAAATGATTTTTTTTTTAAATTACAATCAGAGATATAATAGTATACGACCGCTAATTAAAAATAATAAACTATAGTGATTGATGGCACATGAATCTTAACTAATATTGTAATACACATATTAAAATAGTTATACAAACTAAAAATAAAAAATAATGTATATAATCCATTTATATAAATTTGTAATATTTTCTCTTACTAACCGTGGTTTGAGCACTGAGTTTGTTCATGTACCAACACATGTTTGGTAGGTAAGTAAAAACCACGGTTAGTAAGAGAAAATATTACAAATTTATATAAATGGATTATATACATTATTTTTTATTTTTAGTTTGTATAACTATTTTAATATGTGCATTACAATATTAGTTAAGATTCATGTGCCATCAATCACTATAGTTTATTATTTATAATTAGCGGTCGTATACTATTATATCTCTGATTGTAATTTAAAAAAAATCATTTTCAGCCCTGAAGATGACCCACATGTTTGGGTTAAAACGTTGGCAAAAATCAAAAAAAATTTTAAAAAGACTGCGTCCTGAATATTTATCACCCATGATATGTAGAACAGTCGACTAATTTCCTTCAAGAATTCAGAAAATAATGATAATATTTTCATGTACAGTGTTCCTGTTATTTTATTCTCGCAAAAAGGAGACGCAAAAGCAAAAGTAGGGTGGTTAATATTGAATGCCTAATCAAATAAAGTGTAAAGTTACTAAATAAACAAGGCACAGACCTTTCTTTCGCTTTCTTAAGCCTTTTATCTTAATTCAATTTTTTTCTCCATTCAATGTCTCCCTTTACTTTTAATGTTAATATTATATTAACAAATAAAAATTTAATACGTATATTTAATACCGAAGTAGTAAAACATATCTCTACCGTTAGTACAAAAGGTAATATGTTGAAAATTGATTTTTTTACAGAAGAGCATAAAAATTGATTATTTCTTCATAATTTATTAGTATTTTTATAGTATTTATTTATAATATTATTATATCTAATTTTATATTTTAATTCCCGTTGCTATTCTTCATAGTAGCAGACTACTTATTGCAGTTGCAGAATACAAAATGTCACCTTACTTTACCTTGAAATGTCACACAAATAGAATAAACATGGAAAAATTGTTACATACGACCAACCTTTTACACTAACAGTAGCTCATATTTTTGTTGATTAGATTAGTTCAAAAATATATGTTCCAGCACAAATATTTTAATAGCTTTCAAGAATTCCTGAAAGGCAGCCATTGATACTTCGGATGTTTCGCCGTATCACCAAAGAAAGATTTCCCCTCCATTTTATCCGTCATAGATCTTGATCCAAAAACAATTTAATCGAAATGTTTTGAAATTGTGTAAGATCGAGCAAAACTGTTTAAGAGTCAATAAATCTTTCTGGTAACATGGCATTTTAATATTCTTCTATTTCAACTGATGAACTTTTCTGTATGTTTCTTTCTTTTTTTTTTTTTTTGCTAACTGCAACGCTTGGTAAACTACGCGATGGAACATGATTCTCCATAGTTCGATTCACCTTATTTTCTAATTTATTATAGAATAAGAAACAATTTTCATGGAGTAGCTCCCGTGCTATAAACAAAAACAAAAAAGAATAGATTTTAGATTTTAAAATTCATAGATTAGGGATCGATTTGATTTCTCGAAGTACCTCATCTCTCACCTCGAAGCAAATGGGTATTCATCAGTTTTTAGATTATCATCAAATTTATTAATTTAATCAGAAAATTCTCTCATATCTGAGAATTTTAGTAGATAAAAAAGATGTAGATTGTGATAAAATACAACCCACGAAGATTTAGAAGAGCGCTAATAATTTGATAAAATGGAGTATGTACCGTAATCAAAGTATTTTAACATACTTTCTCATTTTGGCTCGAAGTAAAATATTTCGTAAATGTTTTAACGATTCCATCTGATTTTAAAAAATGCCTTTTCATGCTTCGATAGTAAAAATGTGAATTTGTGAAAAAAAAAATCATATCGTTGTATTTTAAGTCGCTGTTAAATCAGAAGAAATTTTAATATTTAAGGAATCACGTTTAATAGTTAGGTTATGTTATTTGATGAAGAGAAGCAAACCGCTGGAGAAAGCGTGTGTTCTTCAAAACTGTATCACAAGCTTCTATCGAGCACTATCACCCTAATTACCTTTTATCTGTGATCTCTCGATTTCACGATTGTTGTCAGGCACCTCGTTATGAACAATATACCGTTTGTCACACTGAACCAGTTAGGCTACACATCTTCACCTCCGAGCCAATTACATCTTCTCATAGGATAGAAAATGCTTTCCTATCTAGCCATCTATTATTTTTATCTTAATGATAGCTGAGCCGACTTCTGGAAGATTGCGATTGGCGCTAAGCAATGTTTACCCAGCTATTTGTTTGTCATTGATAGATAATATGATAGAATCAGTGACATACAAATTTTATGTTGTCCTCGACTCGAGTCGGTTATACTTTGTCTTTAAAGAAAATTGGATGGAAGTTCATAATTTTATTGTGCATCCTACCGATATTATTAAAGGTATTGATAATATCTATTCAATTAAATCAAACCTGAATAAATATAATTTATGACTATATGATATTTATTTTATTTTATTTTATTTTTTTAACTTTCATTGAGTATTAATACAGTCTGCCACACTGGAGGGCGGTGGTACTAGAGCTATAGTATTCATTCACACAATATGTACATACGAAAGGGAAAAAAAAAAATATATATATATATATATAAAGATAAAGTAATATACAAGATAATTAAAACAACAGATCAACCGAATAATAACAAAACAAATAAAACACATTCACACCTATGTACAATATTTACATTGGCCCAGGAGACTCCGAATCAAGCTTTGACCCCCAACTGTGGAAGCCAAAGCAGGACTCCAGGAGATCCCAGTGCTTCTCTCCCAGCCGCGTCACTGGTATAGTAAGCCAGTGGAGGCTGATGGAGGGCACTAGAGCAACAGACGCTCAGGACATGAGTGAAGAATCTGGCCAGTGCCAGTACTCCAATATATACATTTTTACAAAAGGTCTCGGGGCCACTGCCGTTTTAATCTCCGAGGAGGATTGTAGGGATGACTGGAGGTAGATAGAGACTGTGCTACAGGATTAGGATGATGAGTGAGATTCTGGTGAAATTTGGAAAATTTGTCTGGGATTAGGTCAAGAACAAATGGGATATTAAGGTCATTGTGTAGGGTTTTATTGGTTACATAAAAGGGAGCATCGAGTATTTTTCGAAGAACTTTAGACTGAAAGGATTGAATGTGTTTGATCTTAGAAAGTTTTGCTGTCCCCCACAGTTCGAGTCCGTAAGTCCAGATAGGTTTCAGGATTGTCTTGTAGATTAATAGTTTGTACTCAACTGAAAGTTGAAATTTTTTATTGAGTAGTCTATATAGTTGGCCATATCGTCGGTTAAGCTGTTGTCTTCTAAGTCTGGTATGTGGGTTCCATGTCAGTCTTTTGTCTAGAAGGAAACCAAGGTACCGAACTGTGTCGGAGAGGGGAAGTGGTATGGAGTTGAAATAAACTGGTGGACACGACTTGCGCCATAGGGTGAAATTGGTGTGTTTGGATTTATGATATTTATTATAAAAGAATATAATATAAAGGAACTAACACAATTTATAAGCATGCTTGATACGATCTATGGTGCGATCACTTCGCTATACTTTAAAATAAAATCGACTGCTTAATACCCTTAAATATAATCATATAATATGTGTATAATTAATCTAAAGCATATTTCCTATCTGCACCATTGGACCTAGTGAAGGGTCTATTTTACTAATGGCGGACAATAATAGTCCGTGGTACAGACCCCTTTTTATCGAATTATTTATTATTAATTATTTATCGAACATCCGTCTAAAACTTCTTAAATAGTTTCATCTCATCGTAATCTACAACTATTTTATTTACAGAAACTCTTGGAATTGGAGCGTTTTCAATCTGGAGGAAAGGCAAACTATGTCTATTTAATTAGCTACTAAAAACTCGTTAATACTCATTTGTTTCTTCTTCGATCGTAAGATAATTTGATCACAAAATCGAGAAAAAAGGTGGCCTTCAAAAATATTGAGCCGTTTGCCGTGACCTACACCCCCAAATTTTCAAAATAACGAGGTTATATAGGACAAACGATCCAATATTTTTGTAGGCCACCTTTTTTCTCGATTTTATGATATAATTATCTTACGATCAAAGCAGAAAGCAAATGGATATTTACGAATTTTTAGTACCTAATTAAATAGACAAAGTTTGCCTTCCCCCCTCCAGATTGAAAACTCCCCAATTCCAAGAGTTTTCGTAAATAAAACAGTTATAGGTTACGATGAGATGGACTATTTACGAAGTTTCAGGCGGATGTTAATAATTCGATAAAATGGAGTCTGTACCACGGAGTATAATAATATTTTGGCAAATGGTCAGTCAATTAAGTAACGCTTCTGTATCACAACATCTATGATCTATTGCAGTTATTAAATTATACACTCTGAAACACAAAAAAATTCAAAATTTGAGCAGATTGCTAAATTTTTCGAGTATGTTAGAGCAGATGTCCAAGTAACCAATATGATCACTCCTCCCTGCATTGCTTCGAATCCATCTTGGGCAAAATGAGATTTATTTCGTAGCGGACAATCGAAATTAATCTAGACCTCTAACACCTTGGTTCTTCGGTAATACCTCAAGAACAATCCTTCTCCTCTACAGAAGACAGAAATAGTGATGTTGAGCTAAACGAAAGGTCTTAATGAACGTTCATATTTCTTGTTGCATTAAAAAAGAAAATCGTACATTGTTATCATAGATTTTTGTTTATTTTCAGGTTTTTGACAGAGTACGAGATGCTGGTCTACTCAGCAAAGTTGTTGGAGTGGTGGGTGACGTTATGGAACCTGAACTCGGCCTCAGCGCGACAGACAGAGAAATTTTAACGCGGAGAGTCACAGTCGTCTTCCACTCTGCTGCGACAGTCAAGTTCAATGAAACCCTTCGAGACGCTGTGAAACTCAACACGATGGGAACTCAAGCCGTCATAGAACTCTGCAAACATATGGTTCAATTACGGGTCAGAATTATTTTATATAGTATATTACTTAAAATATAATGCTGGTATTGATTCAATACGACATGATTTAACATTTGCTAATATCATATTGTACTAATATATGACAACACTTATAGGGTCTAGCCAAATTATGCATTCCTGCGTTCAAAAGGTCAATTAGTTTTAATTTTATATTACAATGTGAGGTACTAAATCAACAAAAAGAACACAATTTTACAGCATAAAAAAATGTGACTAATATTCTCAAAAGTTGAGAAATTGGCGCCTTTTTCTCTGTTGTTAAGGAATAACTTCCTTATAATTAAATGGATTAACTTCAATATCAAGTGATATTAAGTATGTCAGATTGTAGTGTAAATGTGTTTTTGCATTTATTAAAGAAAAAAAAAAAAAGTATGTTTAATATTTTATAATTTTATATGAGTAAATAATAGTTGTATAAAGCTCATATTAAAAAAAAAATAATAAAACAAGTTTTTCTGGCAGACGCAGTCTTAAAGATACATAGTAACAGTTGAAAAAAGAAAAGGGAAAATTTCACATTTTTTAGATTATTATTCGATGTCACATAGCTCCAAACCTGGTTTTACTTTCCTAACTATACTAGGTAAGAAATTATTGCGATCGGGTCAAATTTCCGAAATGCGGTTTTGGACCGATCTACACTTTTCAGAGTCCCCTGAGTAGTGTTGCCCAAATTCGAGACCGAGACGAGTCTTTGTCTTGCAAACTCAGTCTTGATCACGGTCTTGGTCTTGCGCAAGAGTCTCGCTACAGTCTTGCAGTTACTTATTATCTTATTACTATAGAGATATTACTGTAATTTTTTAGATAAGATAAACCTAGCTAAGCCCGAATGAAAAATTAGGAGTTAAATGCAAAAGTATGTTGGTTATACCAATTATTAACATATAGTAACTAAGATTGTCAAGTATTAGCAACTATTTTGTCTTAATTTTTATTTTAAAAAATCGATTCTTTTTACTAGTCCTGGTCTTGGTCTTGCAACAGGTAGGCTGTCTTGCAACAGTGTATCTTGCAAAGTCCATGACAAGGCCGATTTTGGGCAACACTACTCCTGAGTCTGAAAAACATGTTTTTAGCCATTGGGCTGTCCGTCTGTCGGTCTGTCTTTGCCAAGATTTTCTCGGGAACTAGCGGATCGATTTTGTTGCTTTTTTTTTTTATTTTGTAGAGTTTTGAGTACTGATGCCTGTGACATAAATTGAGTGCTCTATGTGCAATAGCTGCTGCGTAATAAATGAAAAACATGTTTTTCTTTAGATTGTAGCGCGAAAATGGCTTTAACGATTTTGATTAAACTTTCCCACAATATTTTAATAATTTTCTTTTCAATCTTCGTACATGGAATCAGTTCCCGAATAAATCGGGAAAAAGTTATAAAGAAAAGAAAAATATTGTAGGGCCTAACTCGCTAAGTATATATGCTATGGTAAAATTTATAATAAAACTTTTGAAAGGTAATTAAATTACCAACAAAACAAAAAAAACACACACCAGATTTTTTAATATTGATATGCCATCACAATATTTTTTAAAAATTGAGCGACATGACGTATTATCACAACTTGAACAGTTGTTTGTCCCTCTTCTCTTAAACCTTCCAATGTTTTTGATTATCTGACATTCTACCCGACTACGGTAAACCCACAAGAAGGATTATGTGTTTGTGTTGTCCACTAAAAAGTATGTAATATAATTTCTAAGATAGCCATTGAGCCTAAACAATCCGTTATAACACAACTAAAAGTTCGTCAAATTTACTTTAAATTCATTCTGTTTTACTGTTTTTGTATAATAAGTGTTTTTATGACGATAATTTCTAAAATAAGAGACCATATGGAAATATTATATTTATTGGAAAAATGACCAATATTGGAAGGTTTGTATCTGAAAAAGTAAGTATCTTAAAAAGGCTGTATCATTTTTCTATCAAATTGGTGTATACCTTTGTCGAATTTGAAAAATAATACAATCTGCCTTCGTGCCAGACCCAAAGTTTTGGAGCTATTTAGTAATACCTGAAAAAATGGTACAAATTTATCTTTTTGTTATTATTGATTTATGGAATAATTTGCTGACAGTACAGGACTTTCGAAACTGCAAAATTGTTCAATAATAATATTCCATTGTTATGAACTATTATTATCTATACTACTTGAAACTTTTTTTTTTCATAATCCTATATTTCTTTTCTTGTTTTTTAAGGTCTTAAAATTCTGCTTTTTCTGCATATCTCAATTTTAAGGAGGTTTATATTGTTATAATAATTTGTTTCAATATCCATTAGTGCTATTAGACTTGCCTTTTTTTATTTTGAACTTAAATTAAAACTAAAGTTAAAATTTAACTTTTTAACAACTTTTGCCATAATTGGTCCAGAATATATAAGCTGGCTGAATAACTGATTTGTTATTTTTTAAAATGATTCATAAAATTCGGCATTCCTTTCAGTTATGAAATTCTTTACTTTTAATATTTTGAATTCCTATTAAAGTCTTGACGTTTAAACTCTTTTCATTCCCGATTCTTTAACTATTTATTATAAAATTCCATTTTGTAACGATTACAGTAATTTTTCTGTCGATTTTATAATTAATGAGAACAATTGAGATATTTTAGTTTTTAAAATCAAAATTATTGCGATTCATAACAAGAGCACCATATTACGTAAAAAATAAAACTCTTTGTACTGACCTCCACCTTCCAACAGTTGACCAGCATATAACGACCCATTACCAATGATATTATACTATCTTAAACAGACATCGCAACAAATTAATAAGAGACATGGCCACAGCCGACACCTCAGAATATAAGTAGGAGACTAAAAAGGCGTTGGTTGAGAGATCTCCTTCCTTAAACAAATTAAGTATTTGAAACAAGTCAGGAAAGAGGTGCTGGTGAGTACTTTCCATCTCCATGCCTAACATGTTATTTATATCTTGCATTATTTATAGAGGCGGATGATGTAACTAAGTTAAGTAGCACGGTTGCCTTTTCTTATCAGGGAATCAATTACCGGATTTTTCTCGCTGAAGATGTTATAGTCTGTTACATCTGCAAGAAACCGGGACATTTTGCAGCGAAATGTTTGGAAAAAGAACTGCCGGAAGGGTATAATCCGGTAAATATTGAGAACACGCTCCAATCAACTGAGATCGAGCCATGCTCAAGCACAGTTGATTTAGAGGGTAGTTTGAAGAAAGAGGCAAGGATTGATGCTGTAGTCATTGAGTCTAATACAACAGGCGACTTGGAATATAGTAATAGGCAGGTAACCATTGATGACAATCCACCTATTAATAAATATACTGACGAGAAAACACCTATTGACAAACATACTGACGAGAAAACACCTACTAATAAATGTACTGACAAGGAAACATTGATAGGTACATCTGACACTGAGAAATATATGCAGGATGATGACCAGAAACAAAAACGGAATATCATCACTATTACAACCCTATGCAAATCCAAACCATACTTATCAAAGAATCAAGGGATCAACAAAAACCAACAACGTTCACAAACTAGAGATACAGTATCATTAATTGCGAAAAAGTGCAAAGCCGGCTCAAATATTAAAACAAAGAAGACCAGAAATCCCACTGAAACCATACTTGGACCCGTGCGAACCATGATCTTAAACAACAAAAGCACTTACCCTCTCACTTACGAAAAAATATGCCTATTACTCGACTTGACTCAGGGAGAAAATGAATCAAACGCTACTGATATCATGTCTCAGTTTACAAACAATGTAAACGGTGTGAAAACAATGCTCTCAGATATCAGAGACAAAGTATCACATAGAGGGCTAAAAATCAGAACCTCAAAACTAATAAAGATTTTGAATGAGCACTCCTTGAACACTACCGAGCATTTAAAAATAACACATGGTGATAATAATAATCTCGAAAATAAGAAACACTTTGCCAATCAAAATGAAAATCATTCAATGGAATTGTAACAGATTTTTCCGACAGTTAGAGCACCTAAAAATGACAATAAGCGAAGAGAACCCTGTACTAGTTTGTCTCCAAGAAACACACTTACAAGAAACTCAAACAGTGAGATACAAAGATTACGATATATACCGAAAAGCAAAAGATCGTCATGGGAAGACTTCGTATCTTCATTAAATCAAAGCATTTCAATGAAGGAGCTCTGGAATAAAGTAAAAAGCATTAAGGGGATCTCCAAAACCAAGAAATTGCCTGGTATAAAGACTGGACAAGACATTATAACTGACCCTGACGAAATCGTTAACGAAAGTGATAAAACTCTGCAACAGAGTGTAATGTAAAGGCGTTGCCAATGACCCTACAGGGTAGAGGCAACAAAATACCAAATAAATAAATAAATAAATTAGAAACTTCATTTTGCATTAATTGTTCAAAAAAGTAAAATTTTATAGCTCATATTGTATGAAAAATATCAAAATTTTCAAATATTCGTGCAAAAAAATATTCGTACATTTAACTAACCCAAAGAAACTATAATAAATATCAATCACAATTAATTTAATATTTTGTAGGGCACCCTTTCACGTTTCTCACAGTATTGAGTCTCCTCGGCATCGGTTCCACGAGTCTCTTGGTCCCTTGTTCAATTTCTTCCTAAGCTTTTTTAAGATTTTTAATTAAGTCAAATAAGTATAATAAATATAGTATAATAAGTATATAAATATAAATGTAATAAATATTCTTAGTCCAAGAGGAATAAGAATATTTTCGGATTTGCAATTCCAGCAGCGCCCATTAATTTTCAATTTGATTAAAATTCGGTGATTGTGTGGATGTTTTGAACATTATATAACAACCACTGTATGGCCGTGTGGTTGGGATCGTTGTCCTCCTGAAACGTACTCTCCATTCCTAGCTTTCACACACTTTTATTTCAATTGCCTCTGAACACGTTCACATATTTGCCAGCATTCATAATGCCGTCAATAATGACTAGTTCACAAACTC